TATATATATATATATGTGTGTATATATATATAAAACAAAGTTAACTAAGAATAAGCAATTGAATGTTACATTAAAAGTAATATACTTTCTTTAAAAAGATACGTATGTACGATCACTTAGTGTATTCAAAGAATGTCTCGGCCTTAAACATTACGTATGGAAGTATTACAAGTTTCGTATCTCCTTAATTATAATGTTGCATATTTTCCGAACGGAATAATACTTGGTAAAACAGAAAATGCGATAAAATTAAATATGGCAAACTCTGCATAGAGGAGGTTAAACTTATTCGCACATTTGAAGCAACGAATTAATCGTAACATCCTTCTTCCCATGATTAGCGTCATATACTGATTTTATGACTTCTTTGTCGACATTTGGAAACATTTCTGCGATCTGCAAGACATAGTACAAGTTACAATCGTATATGTACATGGTAAATACTGCATTGAACAAAATTATAAATAAGTATGTTGTATGTTGAGTACCTGTTTCATCTCAACTTCAGCATTTGGCAAAGAACTGGGTACAACCGTCGGTGCAACAGCAGCCGGAGGTGCTGTGTAAACATACGGCATGCCATACATTGTTGCAGAAGGTACCATCATTATCGAAGAGGACCCCATATATGGATGGCATTTGTTCTATAAGAAACATTGAATATAAAGAAAGGAAAAATATTTAAATATATTTCTTAAGAAAACACACATTACTTGAATTCATATATATCCAAAAAGATATTAAATACAACTGGCTATTTCATTTACTGTAATATCTTTAAATATTGTCTTGAATGAGCAATGGTATAAAAAAAAATATATATATATAATTAAGATGAAGTAATATATTTATTGTTTGTACCGTATAACTGAAAACTAAATTGATCATCCCTTCCTGATCATCCCCTTGTTTTCCACTGAGCATGTACCAGTCCTCGTGTGTCTCGCCCTTTTGAATGACATGTGGTGGAATATCTATGTGTCCCCATGCAATCAGCTCATCCATCACAAAAGAACATTCATCGTAAATTTCTACATATATTTGGGTAACTCCGGGAGGAAGTAGGCTGCAATAGCAAATGTCGCGACATTTAGAAGGAACATCTGTCATGTTTGGATAAGTTGGAGCCAAATGTGTCTTTACCATTGAATGACTTTGTTCCAGTGCGGATTTTTCCCACCATTCGAATTTGTATGTGTCTCATATACCGCATGTCCCACTCGTAATCTCACATAAGGATCCATTCTTGTCACTCCATAATTTTTAACTAATTTGGCCTGAGAAGATATTATACCTTTTAGTATAAGGAAGTAAGAAAATATAAAGTATAAAATAAAAAAAATATATATATTCATACCTGAGCGATCGTTACACTAAGTCTGCCTACTCGGGGATCTTGAGCCATTGGCATGTTTTGCATCTGGAGTTGCTGAAGAGCTAAAGCAGCCTGTTGATCCGCTGCTTCCTGCTGCAACTGTGCATTGTGTTCTTCTATTCTTAAGAAACTATCCGGCAAAGGTCCCACAAATGCCTGTGTATTTGATTAATTAAAGGATAAAATTTAACAATCGTCTACGTGCGTCAGAGGTACATAATGCTAAGTCAACATCATACATTTAAAATAAAACAGGGCTTTTGAAGATATATAAAATTATAAAAAGCATTGCGTACTTATACGGGTATATTTTTTTATGTATTACTCTCAATACATTTAAATCCATATAGATACGCCTAATCCATTTAAGTAATATACGCGTAACAATAGAACATTTGTAATGCCTTCCATGATTGCGTTTGACAAGTGGCAGTTTGTATTTACCCGTTTTTTCCAATCCTCGTGCAGCGGTTTGTCCGTATCCATAATGGAAGATGTTGGAAAAATAATATCTCCTAAATCGTGTTCCTAATCCACTGTTTACCTTCTACATGCAGTACATCCAATATTCATCAAATACGTCAAATCACGCAATCGTGCATGCCTCGAAGTGACGCGAAACAAGTGTGTCGCGACGGAACTCGAGCACGGCTGCCGCGATTTTGATAATTAAGATACCATAGGGATGCGATAGGGATTTTTTTCTTATCATGAGAAATAGATCATCATAATGCGATCAAAGCTCTAGCCGGGAATAATGATCCGTAATCTGAAACTTCTTTAAAAGTGCCTTACATATGGTTCCTCAGCTAATCAGGTTTCTAAGACATTTTTAGGGAAACTTTTACTAACAAAAGAAAGTTCAGAATATTTAGAGCCAATATTTTTATCTTCAAAGTCCGTATCGGACGATGGATTGAAATTGGATTGAAATTTGGCCAATCAGAGCAAAGTTTACTAACTTAAATTTAATGAACTTTCGGTAGTTCCACTTTCAGATAAATTTATCTAATAGATAAATATTTGATGAATGTTCCCACACGGAAACTATAAGAATACGAAAAAATTATTACTAAAAAACATAATAGAAGAACAAAAATATACTAATAATTTTTTCATATTCTTGTAATTTATTTCTGTACAGGAACTCTCTTCAAATATTTATACATTAGATAAATTTATTCGCAGGTGGAACAACCGGTCCTCAAAAATCGAATTTTGTTATTGGTGTATGATTTGAACATTTTCTCGATGCCGTTTAAAACGCAATAAGCCAAGATGGTCCAATGAGAGAACTTGTTTTCGATTAATTCCCAGAAGTGATCTTGTTGGACTATCGGTCGTGTTCCGAATTATATCGGAACACGACCGATATAATTATATCGGAAAAAGTAATCAAAATATTTTCAAACTAAGTGTAATATATATATAAAGGTTGGTACTAACGATCAAAGTATATAGAGGTGCAATATGAGGTTATAAATTCGAAAGTCCTTACAGTTTGAAAAATACTCCGGTGCAGATATCTTGACGTGAATAATGTTCGTCCAAACGGATTGATGCGGAGCGGAGCAACGTAGAAATGGGAAATAATATATTCGAAATCCTAATTGAATCATGGAGTTCCTAGGAGAAATTTTAACTTTCGGTATTGACACTGTCATATTTGCTATCTGCTTGAGACAATATATTCACTGCAGGAATGCGATTAAGGCGATTCAGGTAAATTATATTATCAAAATTATACATTTTAATTAAACCAGCATTTAATTTATAAAGAAGGTATATGTTAAATATAGGAAATAACTTGGGAAAATTATATATATTTATAGAATGTCGAGCTGCATGACGTTGGGGCAGATTTGGAAAATTTAGTGAACAATACACATAATAAAATAGATTACATTGCTGTCAGGGGACTTGTAAAGCCATTAGGAGAACCATTACAGAGCATTGATAAAAAAAATGTTCTTGGAGTTATACAAAAGCTTAGTGTTAAGGAACATGTTATTGCTAGAACGTCTGCTGGGTTTTGGTAAGATATGCTTGTATATTAATCCTTCTGGCTGCATAATTATGTTTGATATTTTCTCGATGATCATATTGTAACTCTGTGCAGGTCTGATCAGAAACGAACAATGCAAAAAGTATACAATGTAGTACCATTTGCTTTGAAAAATGGATTTTATTATGCAGAAGTAATAGATCCATTATCTGCCAACATTTTAGACTTGGATGTAATCTCAAACCATTATGAGCCTATTGTCCCTACAATATTTGATCATTTGTGGGGATTTTTAACAGGTGAATGTGATAAGAAATATTACAAGACTACTCTATATATTTATTGCAAGACACATATGATAATTTAATCTTTATATACCTCTTATATGAAATTTCATATTTTCAGTTTCTAAAGTGCTATGCTTTATTTCTGTATATTTATATGTATTATCAGGAATACGCCAGCGTGGTTTGCAAACTACAGAGAAAATGTTACGTGTGGACTCGGTTATCACAGTAATAGGTGAGCTTTCGAAGTCAGAAACTAAATCTGGCATGCTTACGTTGCAACCTCCATTAAATGGATCTCCTTTTTATATAACAAGCATGTCCATTACTGCCCTGATAAGGAAAATTGATGATCATAGGAGAATGTACAGGTACATAGAAACAAAGTGATAGTACTTGAAGGAAAATTATATAACGTAAAACAACATAATAATAATATACAACAATATAATTAAATATAAAAATGTTTTTTGAAATATAGATTAGTTTGCATAATATGCGGCGCGGTAGGATTATTAATTGGAGGAACTGTAATAAGACGTTACTGGAAAGATAAGGAGCGGAAAAGAACTGCGGAGGAGTTGCGACGTAACCTTGAAACTTCTCGCAGGGAAAGACGGCAAAGAGTCAGAGATGCTGATCTAAGAGCAGATCAGATGTGTGTAATATGCAATACAAACGCACGTGAAATTATTCTACTACCTTGTGGTCACGTGTGTATATGTGAAGATTGTTCAAGTAGCATCAATGATAATTGTCCAATTTGTAGGACTCGAATCACACAAAAAGCAGCTGCATATATTATATAAATCTTACATATATATATCTTTTGTAACCAAATTTAAGACATGTTCCTATTATAATGAAAAAGCAAATAGGACGTAAAAATAATAAGTGAGATTTAATTAAAACACGATATTATTTGGAAGATAATTTTTATAATATAGATATTACATGTATATATATATGTAATATATAGACAAATATATATATTAATATTAATAACATTATATATATATATTGTAATAATTATAATCATTATAGTGCTTATATATGTATTAATTATGTATAATAAGAATTCAATAAGTCTGTTCTTTCTGTAGCTGAACTAGATTACACTTTTTGCCTTTGGAATAAAACAAATATATAACAGAGCATTGAAAAGAGAAAGATCGAAGTTCCAATGTAACGCTAGTTCAACTATAAAGTACAGGCCTAATGTTGGAAGAAATATCTTGCTAATTCTAACAATAGAATTCTGGAAGATAAGACCTAGCGAATAGTTTGAAATGACTAATGTTAAAATTTAATTAATATCTAAAAAATATAAATTCATCGTTAATATAAATTGAATTTTTTCAAAGGGAATGTACGTGATGGATATCTTATATTAACTTGCTTCAAATGTGACAATAATTGAATGAATAACTGAAAACGAATTTATTTTATTTTATGTAAAAACACCACATGCCATCTACACGTATTATATATTTATAAAATATTAAAAATCTATATTTTGCAATCTGTTTCTCTTATCTACGTTATTTGCATCCGAGCTCATAATCTTCTTAGCTTTGCTGCATTTGCCAATACCGAGTTTTGGTAGTCCTCTGTTCAAACCTTCCAACAGAATGCAAGCTTTGCATATTTCCTGACTTGAGATGAATCCACATCGGGTACAATTTCTCCTCTCTGGCATTTTCACGCCGTCTTTTACTTGCAGCTGTTCACCTGATATACCGTCAATAATATCAACAAGCTTCCAGTTAACTTTGGACAATAAAGCAAAATATAACGAAAGAATATTCTCTCACCTGAGTGTAACACATCTATAATAGCTGAAGGCCTTATTTTCTCTAAATCCTTCAGGAAGGCTCGTGCATGGCCTCTATAAGCATCCGGGGCGTATATGCATTCGGTGGAGAAGTAAACCAAACGCTTCAAATATGCGTACATAACAATCTCCTTCTCGTATGCATATTTTAGTGGTTTACATCGCATGATAGAATCTGGGCCTGCCTGCAATGCACAAAAAATATATGTACTGACCTTCCATCGTAATAAAAGTCTTAATTATATACACATGAATAACATATCCTTACAGTTATTACAGATGTACACCTCTGTAATCTTGCGATATCGCCCCTCATAACATTCATCAGTACCGTCTCCGCGATATCGTCTGCATTATGACCAGTTGCGATGCAATTCACTCTCAACAGTGCGGCACCTCTGTCCAAAGCTTGTCTTCGAAAAACACCGCAAAATGTGCAATTATTTTTACGGCCGATCTGAAATATATTACACATTGTTGGGAATTTCCCTACTACAATCTGAAAGGTGGCCAAATTTATATGATATACTTCACCTCTGCAACAATGGCATCCATTGTCCATCCGTATAATTCTTCATACGATAAGACTTTAAGCGGGATACCATAATCGTCTCTGTTCTGTGTTACAGTTTTCAAACTATCGTCCCTATACCCTATAAAATAACGCATTTCATAAAAATATACAGTACAGATTTTACATATACGAAGTTTGAGCTGTATCTTGTAAATGTCATATGAAGTGGTTTTACTACCAGTGATCCCTTCGTTGATAGATAACAGAAACAGATCCAACCCATATTTGTATCTTTCGTTCAGTGTTTTTAAAATATACGCAAGTACCGTTGAATCTTTCCCACCAGATGCTCCAATGGCAACTTTGTCACCAGGTTTAAACAGCTTGCCGCTGATAATGGTATCGTGAATCTCAGTTTCAAATGCCAGGAAGAAACATTCCTTGCACAATTTGTCGCCGGTTTTTGGCCTCTAAAAATATTTCTCTCATCTTAATTGTAATCATTGTATATATACTACGCAAAACTGTAAGATAGATTACTTGCTTTTAAAATAGCGTCTCTTCCGCAATTTGTGGAGCACGAAGCAGGCATTTTGACTCCTTGATTTTCCTTGATATAATTATTATTATTATTACGCGGAAACTTGTTCGAATAATATAATAATATAATGCAAGATCGTGCAAGAAACGTTTTATTTTCTCATTGATGCAAAACGCACGATGAAGATTAGGTTATGTGTTCACGTGTATATTGAAAAGATGGTCGCATCGTCACACGCGAATTAGTCACACAATTTAGCGGTTTGAGAAAAGAAACTACGCAATATTACGTTCGAGTTTTTGTTTTTATCACACTGAAACGAATATACAGTGAGGTAGGGGGAGCGATTTAATCTTCCGGCTTCTCAGGTGGCGGTCCGCAAGGTTGCAACATCTTTTCCATGAGATTGAACCTGACTCGCGCTTTGGCCTCGTTCTCGGCGATCGCAAAGAAGTTCAGCAAGTCATAATGGCCCATGTAAGAGCTGCAGGAATCACGATGCTGATTGACGAGCCACTCGAACTTGGTCGTGTCGGCGTGTCCTGTGCCAATGTATTTCGACTGCAGATGTTCCAATTGACTGTGGATGTTGTAACGTTCTCCCATTTTCTCAAATTGGCTTCCTCTTTTCTCAACGATTCCAAAGAGCGCGCGACTCGATGCCTTCGCTTCCTTTTGGCGTCTCGCTTTACCAGATCAGGTTAGGCCAGATTACGGCCGGTGTTCATGTGTTTCATGCTTACTGGGTATTTACGTGAAGCTGACCGGAAAACAGCTCAACCAATCGGAGAAAACCACACTTGACCGTTCCCTGAAAAGCAGTACATTCGTTGGCTGTCGAGTCGAACGATTTGGTCTCTCGAAAGATCCTCAACAGTGACGACCAATCCGAGAGCCACGGTAAATTCAATCTACCAATCATGGATAAAGAAGTCTTGGTTCTTCTCGTTCCGATTGGTCGGAATTAAATGCCATTCCACCCTCAATAATATGTTTCCGAACGCACAGCGCAGTTTTTCTCGCTATGTCGCCGCGTTTCGACGCTCGCCGCGCCACGGCAGCACCGTACGACGAAATTACGTCACGCGACGATGACGTGCTTAATGGTTTAATGGCTTCCATTCGGTCGAGCTAGCTTTTATGAGCGAGCCAGCATCGAATCCAAAGAAAACACATAAGATATGATGCGATCGGCTGTCGAATTCATAAAAATATGATCGTCTGAGAGCCGGAATTACTGATAATCGCAGTAATTTCTAGTAACTTTGTATCTTTGGCCAACGAAACTCGGACCGAGTTCTGGTTTATCGTGCACACACAAGGCTTCACGCATCTCCCTCTCATCATCGGCCCTACGTGCTGTGGTTTCGGCCCTGATGCGAAGGACACCGTTTCTCGCCGCGGCATCGCAGGACACAAATCTCACGTGAGTAGACGACCCCACGATCCTCGCGTTCCCGTCTCGCGTTTGCTCGCCGATGCTCCCCGGGAAAAGAAACTGGGCGAGTCCCGATGGGGGCCCGTCCCGTTGTGAGAGTAATGGCGGCTGCGTTGGCTCGTCCGAGATATTCGTGACCTCGCGTTACCCACGTCCGTCGCCGTAATTTCGGGCCCGTGTACACCTGTCCGCCGCCGATTATCATTCCGGTCCCGGCGTGCTACGGCGTTAATGAATTAGCACGGCACAAACGTTCCGCCGGAGAGGTAATCGCACCGTTTCACGATATCGCTGCGTTCTCGCGTTCGGTGTATGCGTGCGTGAGCGAGCGCGCACGCCTGTGTGCGTACACACCCGCGTGGCTGTGGGTACGTGATCATACGTATATATATATATATATATGTGTATATATATATATATATATTCATGAGGATCACTGCCTCTGAAGTGCGAGGCAGGCACGAGTCCGAGCGTTATTATTTCTCTCACCATCTCTTGCGTCTCCACCGATGTCAGGGTGAGCCGGGGGAATAAAGTGACACGTGGTGCACCTGACCGTAGACGAGTGCCCGTGCTCGTAGAGCCCTTAGCGAGGGATGCCAACGAGCTCAACGATGTAAGACCACCTAAGCACTCGAGAACACCTTGTTATTGTCCACCTAGAATTAGTTGAATAATAAAGGAAGCGATATGTAACGATGAGTACATTTTACTTGATCGTGAGTATTCATAATCAAACATGTGTAAAAACAATTATATATCTTTCTCCACGAAGACACACACCCATACATAGGCGTTTTTTTTTTTCCACAAGATGGAAAATATGGTCGAAAGTGGGAGGAACCACTCGCTCATGGTTTGTCTGATTGCCCATTTCTGCCTACTACAGTTCTGTCTTCTTCTGTAGTTGTTATTATCGTATTATATGTTGTATGTCGAAGAGACAGCAGTGTGCGTCGCACTCACACACCAGCCACTCATCGTTACCTTTGTCTTTCAGCAGGTGACATGCCTCGAGAGGTCGATCATAATGGGAGATTTCGCTCGCGCAGACGCGGCAGCACAGGTAGCGACGTGGTGAACCGGCACAGTTTCGAGGGGAGCGACAAGAAACACCGCAGACATGGAAAAAGCAAGAGCTCCGGCAAGAAAAAGAAGAAACGCTCGCGCGACAAATCCATGGAGAACGTGCCGACTGTCGCCTCGAGCGTCGTCAAACCTTTGGTGGAATATTCGGATGTAAGTAGCGAAGATCTATCCGAGCCTGAAGCCGGGGAGATACAGTCGGAGGACAGTCGCGGCAACAGCTATACGGATGGTGAAGTACCTGAACCGCTCCTTCAAAGGCGATATTATGGTGGTAGTCCGGTCCGCGCTCTCGGAGTCTCACCGATCAGCCTGTCACCGTCCCCGCCGCTCCCCCACCGGCACGCTGGTAGACATTACTCGCCGAACGCGGTGCAGCAACAGCCGGTGACGATACACGCCGGCGCCGCGGCCGATTACGAGGAGGAGTCGAGACGGTACGCCCGGCGGAAGGAGAAGAAGCACAAGCGCGAGAAGAAGAAGAAGAAGAGCCTCAGCCCGTCGTCCACCTCCAGCAAGAAGAAGAAGAGAAAGTCGAAGCGGCATTCTCACAGCATAAGCCCGCCGCCGCACGTAGGCGCCGCGACGATGGACATCGTCCTGAGTCCGGAGCGTGAGAAACCGGTCGCCCGTTGGTCCGAGTCGCCCCCCTTGCCGCTCAAGGACAACATGTCGCCGATCTCGCCGGCGACGCCGCACGAGCAGAGGTGCCTCAGCGACATGGAGATGGAGTTGCAGCCGAGGCGGAACGTCGTCACGCCGCCTCCCCTGCCGATGCCGATGCGGCAGACGGAGTCGCCGCACACTCCGCTGCTACCGCCGCGCGCCATCACGCCGGAGTGCGTCAACAAGGTCGTCCTGCTGAAGCACAGCCCCGACCGCGGCCGGGAGAAACGCAGCCCGAGCATTCACGCGCGGCGCTGCAGCGTCAGTCCGGGACCGGGGCTGTGCTTCAGNCCGGGACCGGCCGCGATCGGCCGCAAGAGGCCGCACAGCCCGAGCCCCCCGCCGGCGACGAGACGAAGGGAACACAGTCCGCCGCGGAGAAGAGACTTCAGCCCCGCGCCGGTGGTGCTTCACAGCAGGCTCAGGCACACTCCGAGCCCGGTCGCGACCAGGCGACGCGAATTCAGCCCGAGTCCCGTGAGCCATCGGCGGCGGGCCGAGACGGTCACCTCGCCGTCGTCGAAACGTCGGAGACGGGAGGACTCGGATCGACGTCACAGGCATCACGAGAAGGACAGGAGGGACAAGCGGAAGTCGAGGTCCACCAGAAGTCCCACCAGTAGCAGGTAAGGCTTTCTGCTTCGATTCAAGATTATCCCTCCCCCCCCCCCCNATGAATCAATTGTATAGACATTTCACTCGACACGTGTGTTCATCCACCGGTCTTTCCAATTTCAGGGTGCACCTGCCTCTCTCCCGATCGCGGTCTCGCAGCCCCGGCAGATCCTCCTGGCGGAAGCAGTCCCGCTCGAGGTCGCACTCGCGCCGAAGGAGCCGCACCCCGAAGAAATCGCGCTCGCCCGGCAAGATCCACAAGTCGTCGAGGAAGCACAAGTCGAAGAGCCCCCGCCCGAGAATACCCTCCCCCTCCCCGCACAGGTCCAGGGCCAGGAGCCCGTCGAGCATCACGGCGCGGAATCTCCGGGTGCAGGCGAAGATCAGCGAGACCAGTCTGTTCGCGGAGCTGGTGAAGGACCGGAACATGAGGGAGCTCGCGTACAAGAAGCTGCAGGCCGCGAAGGAGAAGGCCGTCACGCAGGACGAGGTGCAGATTATCGAGGGCACCGACGAGAAGGACAGCGGCGGCAACGCGGCAGCGTCCGCCGAGAACAAAGCTTCCATTGACAATAAGGACAAGCCGGTGAATCACAACAAGGAGTCGCAACAGGCGAAGCTCGGCGAGGCCGGCGGCGCGGCCAAGTGCGTCGACATCGTCGACATCCCCGTGCCGGTGAGCGACGACAGCGGCCCGGCCGGCAAGACGCCGCCGTTACCGGCCAGCCAGCCGGCGGCACCGCCGGCCCCGACGACCCCGGCGAATCTGACCCCCCAAGCGATCACTGTACATACCTCGCCGCTGCCGCCCACCATCGCCACGTCCGCAGTAGCCAACAATTGCCCGGTATCCGCCGTATCCCACAGTCCGAATTTCCCGGGTGCGAGCGCGCAGCAGCAACCGCCGCCGCCGCCACCACTGCCGCAGCCACCCGAGTCGTCCGCGTCGACGGTGCCGCCGCCGGCGGCCGCGTCGGCCCCGGCCCCACCGGCGGCGCCGGCCATGCCGAACATGGCTGTTCCGCCGCCACCTATCCCGATACCCGTGCCGGCCCCGAACACGATCATGTCTAAGTTCAACGCCCCTAACAATCTGGTGCCTCTGAAGTCGGTCGACCCGCCCAAGCCTCCCATAGTGGCTTTCAAGACGAAGAGCCTGTCGAAGCTGCCGATGCCGCCCGGGATTAACCAGAACGACCTGGAGAGCATCGACTCCCCGCCGAGTCGTTCCCCGAGTCCTCCCAGTAAGACTCAGGCGAAGTTCCCGGCTTCGGCTGCGCCGAAGCCGCCGCAGAAGAAGAGCATCAAGGACCTGCCGATGCCGCCGGGTAAGGTTTCGTTCATCGACTCGTTTTCGCGGTTACACGTCGTCAATGTCGGCTTCGTTTGTATATCGATTGATCGTGCTAAAATTGTAGTTGTACCTGGCTCGGAAGACTTGAGCGGCGAGGACGACCCGAACGCCACGCCGCCGCGTTTGAAGATGGAGCGGATGGCGCCGAAGCCGAAGCTGAAGAGGCCGAAGATACTGAAGCGACGTGGCTCGCGGAACTGTCACGCCCCCACCTCGGCCTCCAGCGGCAAGGATTGGGGCGAACGTTGCGTGGACGTGTTCGAGTTCATCACGCAGATCGGAGAGGGCACTTACGGACAGGTGTACAAAGCGCGGGACAAACGGTCCGGCGTGCTCGTAGCCCTGAAGAAGGTCCGGCTGGAGAACGAGAAGGAGGGCTTCCCCATCACCGCGGTTCGAGAGATCAAGATCCTACGCCAGCTCAATCACAAGAACATCGTCAACCTCAGGGAGGTCGTCACCGACAAACAGGACGCGCTGGATTTCCGGAAGGTACTTTCGGCACGGGCAAAGACACTCCCCTCGCGACTATAATTAGACAGCCTCTGGTAGCAAAATTGTGAAATTCGTATAATTGCCTCCCGTGTTTCAGGATAAAGGTTCCTTTTACTTGGTTTTCGAATACATGGACCACGATTTGATGGGTCTCCTGGAGTCCGGTATGGTGGATTTTAACGAGATGAACAACGCCAGTATCATGAAACAGCTGTTGGACGGCTTGAATTACTGTCACAGCAAGAATTTCCTGCATCGAGACATCAAGTGTTCGAATATACTGATGAACAACAAGTATGTTTCAGATTGGAAACGCATAATTCACTTTCCCCAATGGTCCTCGTCTAATCATGGCATGATCTTTGCAGAGGGGAGGTTAAACTGGCCGACTTTGGATTGGCGCGGCTTTATAACGCAGAGGACCGACAGAGGCCGTACACCAATAAGGTGATCACTCTGTGGTACAGGCCGCCCGAACTGTTGCTGGGAGAGGAGCGTTACGGGCCTGCGATCGATGTGTGGAGTTGCGGGTGTATATTGGGAGAGTTGTTTTTGAAGAAGCCTTTATTCCAGGTAAACGTTATTCCGGGCGAGGTCGTAGTCGTAGTCTCAAGCTCGTTGAAGGAAGAAGGTTAATTGCAAATTTTAATGGTTATATCAACACTTTTTCTTTTGTTGTAATTTCGGCGCGACACCAGGCCAATGCAGATATGATACAGCTGGAATATATTTCGAAACTTTGTGGCACACCCACTCCGGCTGCCTGGCCTTCTGTGATAAAATTGCCGCATTGGCATACACTTAAGCCAAAAAAGGTATACAGGAGACGTTTGAGGGAGGATTTCTCATTTATGCCGGGCCCGGCTCTGGATGTCCTGGATAAAATGTTGGAATTAGATCCCGAGAAACGGATCACGGCGGCGGACGCGCTCAAAAGTGCTTGGCTGAGGAACGTTCAGCCTGAACAGTACGTCATCCCTCCTCCTTCTTTTGGTTTCTTTTAATCTCTGTTGTGCGCGAATAATGAAAATACGCACATTTCGTACATATTTGTATTTACGATATAAACTCTAGAATGCCAGCGCCGCAGCTACCTACCTGGCAGGATTGTCACGAACTCTGGTGGAAAAAGCGGAAACGCTTGTTACGGGAGCAGCAAGATAACGCTACTACCAAAATGCCTCTTCTTCCGTTCCCAAATAAAGGAGGCCCTCACAAGGACGATCTGTCGGATGTCGGGGGGTGAGTAGCTGTAGTTGTGATCTGATCCACTAGCTAGGATATGCCCCAGCGCTGATTGAGAAACTAATTTAGCTTATAAACGTAGATGGCTGTGTTATCGCAGTTATGCTTCGCATTTATTTTATATATATATATATATATATATATATATATATATATATATATATATATATATATATATGTCTCTC